CTCGGGGTGAGCTGGGGTCTATGTCGGAGCAGTGGGGGTGTTCCCACAGGGCTCATGCCTCTCCTCATGGATGATGCCAGAGGTGACCCTCTGCCTCCAGAGTGTGGCGAGGAGGTGGGACAGCTTTGTGTCCAAGCTCTGCACTCACTTCCCGAATGTCAGAGCTGAAGAAGACCTCGGGGGCCACCGACTTTGACCCTACTTTAAAAAAATAAAGAAAATGGCTCCCCCCAAATGGGAGGGATTTGCTCAAGCTCACACAGGGTAGCAGCACAGCCAGCCTCAGGGGCCCTGCCTCCCTCCCTGGAGCCTTTTCGTTACATCTTGTTGAGTGTTTATTGCTGTGTAATTGTGTGTGTGTGTGTGTGTGTGTGTGTGTGTGTCTACTTTGTCTTTTAGGGGAGGAAACTGCAATTGCTACCTTCAGGTGTCATCACAGCCTTTCAAAATCAAAGAAGTTGAAGGGACGCCTAGGTGGCTCAGTTGGTTGAGCATCTGACTCTTGATTTCAGCTCAGATCATAATCTCATGGTTCATGGGATCCAGCCCTGCATCAGGTTCTGAGCTGACAGTGCAGAGTCTGCTTGGGATTCTCTCTCTCCCTCTGTCTCTGCCCCTGCTATGCTCTCTCTCTCTCTCTCTCCCTCACTCCCTCCCTCTCAAAATAAATAAATGAACATTAAAGAAAAAAAAAGTTGCAAGCTTTGAGAAGAATGTGGCGCATTGGCTGGAGTCACCTGGAATTTTCAAGGATGTCGTGTCCAAGTTAGAAGTCTCCATGTTGAGATAAGTTGGAGGCAAAAAAAACCCTTGAGCTCTGGACAGACACAGAGGCCAGCCAGAGTGTGTGTGTGCACGCACATGCCTGTGTTGAGTGTGTAGGGGGAGGATGGCCTGAGATCAGCCTCCGCTGGAACCAGGACTTGGCCATAATCAGTCTCAGTCAATCTCAGCCGGGTCAAAGGAAGAGCCGAAAGAGGACAGACCAGGTCTTAGGAGACCATCCATCCACTCAGCCACACTATCCTGGTAGGAACCTGGGGGCCAACCCTACTGGCAAAAAAGAAGCAATCTCTTTATCTCTGGGTCAAAACCTTCAGCTTAACAAGTTCTGCCCTACGTGAGAGGCAGGAGAATAGATTCAACAATAAAGCACATTACAGCCCCTTTCTACTTGAAAGTGCTCTGTCCTGTCCATCTCCCCTCCTCGTTGGTGATGCTCACCTGTCCCTTAAGCTGCCTCATGCTCCACTGAACCATTCTCACCAAGGTCAGCTATAGCCTTCCGATGACCAGACGAGTCAACACTCTGATTCCCCATGGCATTGAACCTTGTTGACCGCTCCATCCTGGACACCCAGTATCCTTTGCCTCTGTAGCCCTCTCTAACCCATCCTCCTCGGTCTCCTTCTTGGCACCCTTTCCATCCTCTCATCCACTCCCTTCTCACCCGAGCCCACTCTCTCTGGGTGACCTTGCCACCCTGTGACCAATCACTTAGGGGACTGATGACCCTCACTTTGGGCTGAATTGTACCCATTCACATTCACATACTGAAGTCCTAACCCCCGGGACCTCAGAATGTGACGACATTTGGAGACAGGGACGTTAAAGAGGTAATTAAGGTTAAATGAGGTCATTGGGTGAGCCCTGATCCAATATGACCAGTGTCCTTAGAAGAAGAGATTAAGACACAGATATGCACAGACAGGAGACACGGCAAGAAGACAGCCATCTATAGTCCGAGGTGAGAGTCCCCACAAGGAACCAACCCTGTAGACCTCTTGATCCAGTCTGTGCTATTTGTTACTGCAGCCCTAGCAAATTAATACAACCCCTCAGTCTGTATCTCCAGCCTCTGCCTCCCGCCTGAGTGCCAAACCTGCAAAGCCAGCTACCCTCCAACACCTCTACCTGAGGCACCTCAAACTTGAGTTCCCATCCCAAACTCGTCATCTTGTTCCCCACACCTGCTGTGCCTCCTGGACTCTCCAGCCCGGTGGTAGGGCCACCATTTCTGCCTCCTGCCTCCCACTCCACCACTCTGCACTCAGCTGCCAAGTCCTATTGGTCCCTCATCTCAAACATTGCTTGAGGGGCACCTGGGTGGATCAGTTAGTTAAGCACCCTACTCTTGATTTTGGCCCAGGTCATGAGCTCGTGGTTGGTGGGACTGAGCCCTGTGTCAGGCTCCATGCCAGCAGTGTGGAGCCTGCTTGGGATTCTCTCTCTCCCTCTCTCTCTGCCCCTCCCCCCTACTCTCTCTCTCTCTCTTTCAAAATAGATAAACTTTAAATATCACTTGAATTTGTCTCCTAAAAAAGTGGACTTGGCCCTGTATTTCAGTCCCTTGGGTACCTCTCCAGGCTACGCCTACTCTACATCATTCTCTTCTGAATCTCCCTCACAGTACTGACTCTGGTCAAACATCTCTCTGCCAGGTTCCCTTTGGACTTGATGGTTGTTCTGAACTATTTCTTTAGCTCCTGGCCAGGCCATCTGTCCTGGCTAATGTCTTCAGTTTCAAGCCCTAGAGCAGGCTGCCTAGTCTGTCACTCCTGGAGCCCCAGCTCCAAGCTTCATTAGCCATGTCAGCATATATGGTTAACCTCAGAGTGGAGACCAAAATGGTCTCTCTTTGTAACCTACCCCTGCGTGCATTTCTATAATTCTCTGTCTGTTAAAAACACTTTAACTGAGGACGCTGGAATGCTTGGTTCAGAAGCAGTAGGGATGAGGGAAGTTGGGGGCTCTGTTTTCTCTTCTCAGCCAGTCTAGGGGCAAGAGAACCTTGAGGGGTACAGAGGACAGAAGGTGGGAGCTGCCAAGGGGGGAAGAAGCAGGCTGTCTCAGAGTCTGCTGAGGAGAAGAAAGGGCTACCCGGCCTGCCCAGCTGCAGCCGGAGAAGAATGCCTGAGCTGTATCTCCGTGGGGGTCCCTGCCACATCCTGCTGCAGGACCAGGATGGAGTGGTCACCCCACTAAGAGGTACAGAAGGGCAAGGCCAAGAAGATGAGAGTGCAGTGGGTGCTCAGACTGTTATTCCATGGCCTTAGGAGTTAGCCCTAGAGTCATACGGGTCTCAACTGCCGACCCCACAGCAGGCCTCAACCAACATGCCTGGCACTGACCAGAATGTAGTACACTCTCAAACCCCACTTGGAGTGAACAACAGGTCTAGATCTGCCATTTAGCACTGGTCTGGGAGAGATTGTAGCTGTTTGAGGCAGGCCAAGATGGCCCCAAAGAGCTCAGAGTCTGGGCTGGTTCCAGGCAGAGTCGTGTGGGCAGGCCAGACCCTCTGGGGCTCCCTGGCTTAGCCATAACTTGTCCCTGCCACACAACTCCATGAAATGGCCTTGTCCAGAACTAGCCCTACTTTCTTGAGCCAAGGCTTCATGCAGTTCACTTGCCAATTTTGTCCCATTAGGCTCAGTATTGGTACTCCAGGGGTCCATGCTATACCCCCTTAGAGCCATGGAAGCACTTTCTCACCAACCAGGAGTTCTGGGGATAAATTTCCACCAAACACCATGCCTCTGAGTAGGGGGCCTTCTGGATTTAAGGCCTTTTCCTGGTCTTCATGCATCAGACATTTTGGTTCTAGAGAGCAATGTTTCCCTTTTATCATTGACTAGGTGCCGTGGGGGGAATATTTTAATACTGAACTAGACACTTTACATGTGTTATCTGATTTAATCATCAGATTCAATACTTTAAGGTAGATATTATTAACTCTCTTTTTGGATGAAGAAACCAGGGCTTAACAAGGTTACATGGCTGGCTAAGGTCGCAGCTTAGAAGTGGCAGAGCCAACGCTCAAGGCCAGGTCAATTTGATCACAAATCCCACCTTAACCATGTTGGATCAGTAGTGCCTACATCACTGACTGTTCCATCTGTACAGAGGGTCTACTCATATCAAATGATAAGGTGACCATGGAGGAACTCAAAGACCAAGGAACTCGGACCTGTAGATTTGAGTCCTTTAGTGACTACCAGGCATAGATCCTGCCCACAGGCATTTCAGGACTGCTGCATGCTATCCATTCATCCATGCATCCATCCATCCATGCATCCACCATCTATCCATCCATGCACCTGTCCATCCATCCATCCACCCATCCATCCACTCATTTATCCATCCATGCACCTGTCAATCCATCCATCCATCCATGCATCCATCCATCCATCCATCCATCCATCCATCCATACACCTGTCCATCCATACGTCCATCCATCCGTCTGTCCATCCATCCATCCGTCCGTCCATCCGTTCATCCATCCATCCTTCCATCCATCCATGCATCTGTCCATCCATCCATCCATCCATCCATCCATCCGTCCGTCCATCTATCCATCCATACACCTGTCCATCCACCCGTCCATCCATCCATCTGTCCATCCATCCATCTGTCTGTCCATCCGTTCATCCATCTATCCTTCCACCCATCCATGCATCCATCCATCCATGCATCCGTCCAATCCAGTCATCCAGCTAGCCAACCAAGCATGCTTTTCATGCATTTATAAAACATTGCTATCAATCAGAAGCCATTCTTTCTGCCCTCCATCATCTAGATCCACATCCCCTGCATGTGACCTTAGGCACCCAGCCAGACTGAAAGTTAGCCCACCCACTTTGCTGTGAAGAAGCCATTATAAAGGGAATCCTGGGCACATTTCATGGCTCAGTGTATTTGAGAGTCAATGCCTTCCCAGGGGCAGTCAGCACCCTATCTCCTGTGGCAATTCTCTAACCTCCTTTCTCGCCCATACCTCTGTCACCCCCTTGCAGTTCCTCTGAGTTTCACGGATCTGCTCAGAAAGGGTTCTGGCCACAGTATCCTTGGGCCAAGGAAGAGGTGGCAAGGTCAGCCCACTCCCCCATTCAGGGGGCCTGCAGAGAGCCACAGGGGGTCATCAGTGGAACACGACCCACCTGTCCGCATCCTCCATTTATTTCCTGAGGTTGAGCAGTGGCGAACAAGAAAGCAGTACCTCGTCCAGGGTTGAGGGGAAGGAGATCTCCTGCAAGTGGAACTGAGGCACACACTGCAGGGTGATGGTGAGGACGACTCCCAGGCAGCCCAGGTGCACCCGCGCGGCCTGGAACACCTCCGCGTTGCTGGACTCGGAGCATTCAAGAATGGTCCCATCAGCCGTCAGCAGGGTCAGCGCCACCACCTGGCAGTGGAAGAAGAGTCACACTTCAGAATCTGGGTGGGTATTTCCTGGAGACTTCGGGTGAGGCCCTCCCTTCCCTGTTTGTCCTTGGAAGTGAGGCCAGGCATCACCTATCCCCTGAAGGCCAATGCCACCTGGCCACAGGGGACTGGGGAAAGGAAGGCTAGGTCTGGGCAGCATCGGCCCTCAGCAGGGAGGGGCATCCATTCCATGAGGTTCCACGGGAACTCACCACTGCCTTGCCTGTTTGCTGTGGGGATGCAGCAAGGCTCCCCTCTGTGCAGAGGACATCAAAGGTGAGACCGGGCCCCAGTGAGCCGTGAGGTGCTGGTTAACGGTGCCTCACAGGGCACCTGGGTGCCTCAGTCGGTTAAGTGCTGGACTCTTTCTTTCAGCCCGCGTTTCGTGAGTTCGAGCCCCGCTTTGGGCTCTGTGCTGACAGTGTGGAGTCTGCTTGGGATTCTCTGTCTCCCTCTCTCTGCCCCTCCCCTGCTCACTCTCTCTCTCTCAAAATAAACATTAAAAAGAAGAAGAAGAAGAAGACGTTAAGAGCCATTAAAAGAAAGGTGCCTTGCAAAGGAAGGGAGGATATGTGTGCATCTGGGCTAGGGCTGTCCCCGTTGTCCCAGCACAGCCCAGGGGCCAGGGGCCCTTGCAGCCTCTCTCTGCCTGTTGCTCCTCTCGGGCACCATCTCAGCCGAGCTGAGAGTTCATCCTCTCTTTCGGGGACCCACTCACCTCAGGAACTAGATTCTTGGCCACAGTCAGAAACGTCAGTTTCTGCAAAGGGTGGGATACTCAGCAAGAAACGGATGATTAACTCCAGTCTCTCACCCTTGGCCCCATTTCCAAAGGAACCCTCTTTCATTGCTGTGTAAGTACTTCTCCACACTCTGCTACCTGCTAATTTGAGTGGAAATTGCTTTCGACATGTGTGACTCAGGGTGAGAGAACAGAGAAAGCCGAACTAATTCTAATTAGCAGAGACCGTGGCCAGAGGGGAGAAATTGGCAGAAATGGGGCACGATGGCCATCGGTAGGCGTGAGGACGTCAGAATGATTTCTATAAAAACCAGATTTTGTCTAAGACCCAGAGCCGTAAATGACAACTGGCTAGTGAAACCCCTCAGCAGGGTCCAGCATCAAACAAAGGCAGGCACCGCTTTACCAGCTGTGTGACCCTGGGCGTGTGATTCAACCTCTGTTTCCTTACCTGTAAAATGAGGGCAATAACTATCTCAGAGACAGTGTGTAAAGTTTCCAGCTGAGCGTCTGGTATACAGTGGACATTAAAGATGTCAATCCCCTCCCCCGACCCCTGCCATCGGCATAATGCATACAAGAAAACAGCAGCATTCTCCCACTGCTTTTCCTGGGGCTGGTCCTGCTCAGCTGAGCTTCCCAAGAGAAGGAGCCAGTAAATCTCACACGCACCTTGATTTGTGGCCACTAAGAATTATTCCATACTGTGCTGACCATTTTTTAGAAACTGCCATCAGCCCTGGATAGCAGACCACGACTGTGGCCTAATCTGGGGCGGGGGGTTGGCTGTTGTGCTGCCTGTCACGCCCCGTTACCACTGGGCTCTCCTGGGCATGGAACCCAGCTTTCAGGGGGGGGAGGTCATGGCATGTCCACGGAAGGCTCCAAGCACCTGGGAATCGAGTCCCACAAAACCCAGCACGCTTTGCTGCAGCAGCTCTTACCGATGGGAAGAGAGCAGCATGATTACCAATGGGCGCTCAGTGTTTCCCCTTCCCCGGCTCACGCCCTTCCCTCCGGATGCCCCTATCCTGCCTGGGGAGTCTCTGGGGCTCTTGTGGTAGAAAGAGGGAGCAGAGAAGGAAAAAAGCAACCAGAACCAGTGCACAACGGTGATGAGAAAGCCAAGTGATGTTTTAAGGAAAAGCATGAACTAGGTTTCCCTCGCAGTGTTGGAGAAAACAAACACAAAGCAAAGTGAATCTCTTAGAAATTGCTTTGGGCTGTTTTCTTCTGATCTCAGAGCTGCTCTGAGCCTGGAGCACAGGGGACCCAGCTCCCAGAAGTCACATTCAGACAGTGCTTGCTGGGGTGTCCGTCTACCTCAGCACGTCGTACAGGAAAGAGCCATACACCTGGCTAGCTGACTTAAGCGATCTGTGTGGTCCAACCCCCAGCCATGCTGAAATTTCTTTTATAGCACAGAGGGTGAGCTCCAGAAAGAGCCCTGTCCTACAGGCAAAACCCACCACTGACATTTATTGAGCACTAACTGTGTACCCTCTGCTAAGCACCCCAGATGCATTGCTGTTGTGACCATCCCCATTTTCCAGGTGAGCAAACTGAGGTAGCCTGAGACAGAGACTTCACCCAGGTCACACAGACAGTAGTGGTAGACTGGGATACAAAATCCAAGCCCCAGTGTTTAGCCATAATGCTCCAGTGGCCAGAGGCTCCATGGTCCCTGGGGCGGATGAGCCCTTGCAGGTGTAAGGAAGTCCCTCTACACCTTACACTTAGGAAGTCCCTCTAAATACTGAAAGTTAAAAAAGTTTGTCCACCAAACGGCGGCTTCTGACACAAATCATGAACTGTCCTTGGCTCGGCCATGTATTTAACTTCTGCTATCTCATATCCTCCTCCTGGGTTGAGGATTATTCTCTCCAGATTACAGATGAAAACAGGGATGTCCAGAGGAGTAAAGAGCTTGCCTCCCTGCACATACCGAGCACATACTGGAGGCAGGTTTTGAACGCAGACCTGAGTCGACAATCTGTATTCATAACCAGTTCCCCAAACCAGATTCTTGTAAAGTTTAAACACTGCATTTCAGGGGCGACTGGGTGGCTCTGTCGGTTAAGAATCCGACCTCGGCTCAGGTCATGATCTCGCGGGCTGTGAGTTCGAGCCCCGCATCGGGCTCTGTGCTGACAGCTGAGAGGCTGGAGCCTGCTTCAGATTCTGTGACTCCCTCTCTCTCTGCCCCTCCCCTGCTCGCACTCTGTCTCTGTCTTTCTCAAAAACAAATAAAACGTTAAAACTTTTTTTTTTTTTT